AGTATCACTACAGAAGTAGATTGCCCCATCTTCCTTCCGAGGAGTGGCTGGGGGGTTTGAACCGCCAGCCTTCTGGTTAGCAGTCAAGCGCCTTAGCCACTATGCTACCAGAGCTAAAAACTCTGACATACCGTTGAGGGAATGGTGACCTAAGAGGGAAAAGTGACTTACAGCTAACTAGTAATTACACAAAAATCACATGCTCTGATTCCTAACTTCGTATTTTTGGTTGTTTTTAGGAATCCTTTTGGTTGTGTGTTGGTGTTAGAACATGCGTGCTGGTTAAATGAATGGTAAAGTGATTCTAGGCAAGATTTTGTCAATGTCATTGTTGCTTAGAGTAACAAGTTTGCACTATGTAATTGTAGGCTCTATTGTTCCTCTTGCCCACTGCATCTCCCTATGCCCTGAATCATATGCCTTGCAAGGAAATGAGTGAGTATAAATGACATGCATTTCATTCATTCATTCATTTCTTGAATAAATACTTTTTTCTGGAAAGAGTTGTGACTTCAGATTTGCTCCTTTCTTGATTATTGTAACTTCCATGGTGTTTTTCATTGTTTTTTTTTTGTGTGTGTTTCTATTTGTTTTGTTTGTTACTTCTTTGTCCCAGAGGTCAGAAGTCAAGGGTGTAGTATTGCACATTCTGTAACTTGATTTTGGATTGAATTGTCTGGATTGAAGTCCACTTCTGCACTCTCTAGCTATGTGAACTTGAGGGTAGGTTTTTACTCTGTGCCTCAGTTTTCTCTACTGTTAAAAAGGAGGTAAGAAGGGTATTGTTTTATAGGATTATTGTGAGGATTTAATTAGTTAATTGTCCCTGAACAAAAAAAGCAAAAACAAAAGAAAACTCACTGCCATCCAGTGGATTCCAACTCATAGCGATCCCCATCGGGTTTCCAAGGCTATAAATCTTTACGGAGGTAGATTGCGTCATCTTCCTTCTGTGGAACAGCTAGTAGGTTTGAACCACCCACCCTCTGGTTAGCAGCCAAATGCCTTACCCACTATGCCACCAGAACCCTGGAAAATAATGTTCAATAAAATCTTATTTTATTCTCTATTTTTTAGCTATGTGAGAATTACTCTGTTTCCTTGACTTTAGGAGAAATGAAACCAGTTCTTTTCATATTCATGTCTTTTAGAACTATCTAGGTAGGCAGACTGAGCAGAGTTAATTGATGTGAGCTCTTTTTAAAATAAAAATTGTTCTTTGCACATGAATAATACATGTGATTATAAAAACAGCAGGAATGCAGGCAGGTGTGCATAAGGGGTCCCTGGGTGGCACAAATGGTTCAGTGCTCAGCTACTAGCAAAAGGTTGGTGTTTCTGCCGAGGCCCTTTGGAAGAAAAGCCTGGTGTTCTGCCTCTGAAAGATCACAGTCATTGAAACTTCTGTGGTGCACAGTTCTCCTCTGAAACACATGGGGTTGCCATGAGTTGGAATCAACTTGAAGGCAACAGCGTGCAGTTTATTATATAGATATTGGTGATGCGTTGTAAATGTCCTCAAAACTTGTATTATATCTGGCAAGTCAAAGTAGAGGCTTTGCTTCAAATGTGAGACTTATGGATACATAATAAGTTAACATATTAACTTCTTAGACTCAGTCACTGACTCTGGCAGGACTTACTTGCTACTGTAAAAAATGACAAAGTTGAAGGTATGAGAACAGTAGATAAATGCATTTGGAGTCTCACCAGAGATCTGAACTCAAATAGCTAATTGTTGTTGTTGTTGCTATGTGCCATCAAGTCGGACCCGACCCATAGCGATCCCTCCTTGGGTTTCTGAGGCAGTATCACTACGAAAGTAGATTGCCCCATCATATAAACACGGTTCAGTTAATAGTAAATAATAAATGCACTTTTTAAATGTTTAGATTATATCCTTGGACTACAGTAGAATTAAATAACAATAAATGATTTTGGGGAATAGAAATAAAGAACTCTGACTTCAACTGAGAAATATGGTACAAAGGAGAAAACAACTATACTAGGCCCCAAATGGTTCAGTTCTCAGCTCTGTATTTACTAGATATTGAACCTTGGGGAAATTTTTAACTTCTTTGAACCTGCCACTGGCTTCTTTGACCCAGAGGACATTCTAACCCTGTTGTGTATTAAAACAATTTTAGCAGTAAAATCCCAGAACAGTTGCAACCTAATAAATTATTTAGAAGACCTTTATAAGGGCATATAGACTAACATGGAAATTTCCAATACCTTTGGTATTTTGTATGAAAAATAATCAATGGTGATAACTAAACCAGTGGTTCTTAATTGGAAGTGATTTTCCTTCTCTACCTCCAATGACCCCAAGGCACATTTGACAATGTCTCTGGTAGCATAATGGCTAAAGCACTTGACTGCTGACCAGAAGGCTGGCGGTTCAAGCCCACCAGCCACTCCTCAGAAGGAAGGTTGGGCAATCCTACTTCCGTAGTGATACTGCCTCGGAAACCCAAGGAGGGGTCGCTATGAGTTGGGGCCGATTCAACGGCACATAACAACAACAACAAAAAAAGACATTTTTAGTTGTCACAACTGGGAGAGTGGGAGTACTACTTGTACTAGTGGATAGAGACCAGGGATGCTGTTAACTATTGTACAATGCATAGGACAGCCCCTCATGAAAAGAATTATGTGGCCCAAAATGCTTCTCTGGAGAAACCCTGAACTAAACTAACTACTTAAGGGAGACATACTTGTCCTTCAGTTTGTTGTCCTGTGGTGGCTTACGTGTTGCTGTGAGGCTGATGGGTTGACACAGTGGCTGCAACGATGGGCTCAGGTATAGCAAGGATCATGAGGCTGGCACAGGACCAGGCAGTGTTTCATTCTGCTGTGCACAGGGTCACTATGAGTTGAAGACAACTCTACAGCACCTAACAACAACAACACAACAAACCAACTACTTTGTCAAGTAATTGTCGTTGAATTGTGAGTACATTTCATGGGATTGGGCATCCTGTAGTATGTCTGTCCATTAACAGAATCTGCAGTCTCTGATTTGGATGGGATAAAGAACATTAAAACCACATTTTATGAGAAGGGCTACTGCAAATGTGTCCAAAATACATAGTTGAGAAAAGCATGTTTGAGATTGGTTAGGATCTTGATAATAGAGCAGCTAAGAATTAAATAAAAACTATCAGTCATACCAAAGAATTACTAGAAATTACCTATACCAAATAAAATTGACTGTGCCAAAACTATATATTGTAAGATTTGTTGATTAAACACTGAAGAAAGAATAAAGTTTTGTTGGTTTATGGCCTGTGATCAAAACCACAAAGGAAAACATACTATTGTAGAAGATATAATAGGTACAATTACATATAGAAAAAACAGTAATTGATAAATCAGATTGTCACTATGAAATAATACTTCTATGTGTAATAAAAATGAAAATTTGCTGTATTAAAAATTGATCAAAGAATTCTTTTGGCTTAATGAATTTTGCTTTGAAAATTACTTGTTTGATGAAAATTTATGAATGTTAGTATTATTTTGATTAAAATGTTTTCAGAATGTCTTCAGGGTCAAAATGTCCCATATTCCTTTCTGAGCTTGTATCTTCATTTGTAAAATGAGGATGGTTACATTTGGTCTGCTTGCATTTATTTTATAAGAATTGCTGTATTAATCAGCATTCATTTAGTTAATAAGTGACAAATGTGCAGAGAAAAATATATTGATTTGTTCACAGAGCTAGGAAGCCCAATGGCCTCAGGTCTGGCTGGATCTAGGGAGTTCAAATGATGAACTTTAAGTTTAGAGCTTAGGCTCTCTCTGCTTTTCCCTGTGGTCCCTCCACCTTCCACCTTATTGGATATGCTTTTTGATGCATGGGTTTCAATGCCAAGCAGGCCATCATCAGGTGGTAACAATGATAGTCTTACTGACAGCCCCAAGCTTTCATTGATCTTAAAATTCACAGTGTTAGAAGACAAGAAACATCTCCTGAGAGCTCTGTCAAAAATTCTGGAGAGAACTCTTGCTGGCTGATCTTGAACAATCATTATTGCCAGAGGGAAGAATATTCTGGCTAGGGTTATGGATGATACTTACTAAAACCTTGGTAGTTTTGGTGTAGAAGTAAAGGTTGGTGTTGGAATGAGTGATGTAAACCCTACACTCAAACCAAACACAGAGCCATCCTCACAATTGTTGCT